CCCACAAGTAGAAGATGAGAGTGGCCTTCAGAGTTGGGAGAATGCAGCTGTCAGGCCGTAACTAACAGTGCTACCATCTCTTACAGTGTGCTTTCTCTAGGAATGAGGGCACTAGTTGGGCAGGGCTCCAGTATTCACAGAGGAACAACTGCTAAGATGCTTGAATTTTGCCTGTTTTACCTGCTCCTTCCCCTAACAAGATGACCTTTTCATCAGTTGCCAGGTTGGGTGTTAGCGCTTTAATAAATCTGACTATATACTCTTCTTTTTTTCCCCTCTTTATTTTTTCAAAAAATAGTTGAGACACAATTGGTATTCACTAGCCTGCACATAGAAGTCCTGGTGTGACATTGTAGGATAAGTACTGGGCTGCTAACTACAAGGTTGGTGGTTCAAACCCACCAGCCGCTTGGAAACCCTATACAATGTCACAATGAGTCGGAATTGACCCAAGGGCATTTAACAACGAATTTCACATATTTGAAATAGCCAGTTAGTTATATAAATTTGATACATGTTTTTTGTGCCTCTTTATTGATTTTAAACCACAAGGTCTGTAGTTCAAACCCACCAAGCTGCTCTTGGAAACGCTATTACAGAGTCAACTATGAGTCAGAGTCGACTCGACTCAACGGCACCTTAACAACAAAAGTCCTTCCTGTTCCCCTCCCCAAGCAACAACTGGTATTTTAGTGACACTGTGGGTTAATGCATTAGACTGCAAAGTCGGTTTGAACTGCAAAGTCAGCAGTTTCAGGCTCACAGGCCACTCCTCAGAAACGCTATGCAGCATCACTATGGGTCGGAACCAACTCAGTGGCAATTAACAACATAAATGGAATCATGCAGTATCTATTCTTTTCTTTGTCTGGCTTTTACTTGGCAAAATTATTTTGAGATTTACCCATGCTGTTCTGTGTTTTGGATATTCATTTTTATTGCTGAATAATACTCTTGTATTGTGAAATTATCATCATACAATAATTTTATCTAGGCACCAGTTGGTGGTCATTTGGATTGTTTGTAGTTTTTGGTTAATACAAGTAAGTCTGCCAGCTTTGTGTAGATGTAGACTCGTTTGTCTTGGACACATGTCCAGGAGTGGAATGACAGGGTCATATGGGAGGTATATGTTCATTTCATTGCCAAGATGTTTTCCAAAGTGGTTGTTCCATTTACATTCCCATCAGCAGTGTATTTCCGTAGTAACTAATGATGAGCATCTTTCCGTGTGCTTAATTGCCCTCATGTATCTTTTTTGGGTGAATTCCCCCCCCCCCCAAAAAAAACACCCTTTTTTTTTTAAATTGTGCTTGGGTTTTTTCCTAACATTGGCTTTTGTGAGGTACAGATTTTTTTTGTTGTGGTGGTTGGCTTTTATGAAGTTCATTCAGTTTGTCAATTTAATCTTATAAGGATCTTGCTTTCTGGCATTATATCTAAAAACAATCTTTACATAATCCAAGGTCCTGGTGTGGCACTGTGGGGATAATGCACTGGACTGCAAGGTCAGCAGTTCAGATTCACCAGCTGCTTCTCGGAAACCCTGTACAGGGTTGCTATGAGTCAGAACTCGGCGGCACTTATCAACAAATCCAAGGTTACAATACTCTGTTTTCATCTGGAAGTTCTATTTTGAGTACTATATGATTATGGTATGAAATATGGATATTGAGTTCCAGCATCAGTGTATTTATTTTTTTTTATCTCAGACACGATGGTTTTCATCTCTGGAAGTCTGATTTGAGTCTTAATGGCACTTTCCTACTAATTCTAATACTGTGTTAGTCACTATTTGTAGCCCTAACTGAAAGGTCAGTGATTTCAAACCCACCAGCTACTCTGTCAATTGTTTTTGTTGAGTCCCATTGAGTTGGTTCCAACTCATAGCAACCCTGTATAGGGTTTCTGAGGAGCTGGTGGGTTTGAACTGTCAATCTAGTGGCTTGCAGTCCAGTGCTGGCCCTACAGTGCCACACCAGGAGTCCTTGGAAACCATATGGAGCAGTTACCTTGGTCTTGTAGAGTCTCTGTGAGTCAGAGTCAACTTGACAGCAATGGGTTGGGCTTGTGTGTCAGGTGGCCTTCATACCCTGGATTTTTATTGCAGTTAGAGTACAGTCTTGTCTAGGTTGAGGTCATATGTTTCAAATTTGGCAAGAAACAGGATAATTCCTTTCTAGGTATACTGTATTTTTAAAAAACTGCCTTACAGCCCATTAGCACACCATGAAATAAATGTAGTGAATCATGGTCAGTCAGCACTCTTTAAAAATGCAAAGTCCATCCCATGTAGTAACTTGTTTCATGAAACAGTTCATTTACACATGTGGGCATATCTGGGTCCTGCCTTTATTAGATGTTGGCTGGTTATTATAGATCAGCAGTGAAAGCTCTTTGTGTCTGGGTTGTTGAATTCCAGTCCTTGGTTACTCCTCTCCTAGCAGTACCTCAGTGGCAAGAAGGTTAATTACCTCTTAGCAATTGAGATGTATTCAACTGTGTCCTGACTTAAGAACAGATTTTTTTTTCCCTCTTCTCTATCTCACACACACACAAGCACACAGTTTCTTTATAGCCACAGTTCTGCTTTTCATACTCTGGGCTTCATAAACACTTTCCAGCCCTCTAGCTGGCCCATCTTAACCAGGACAGCAACCGTACCCATGTACACACACGACATGGCACCAGTGCCTTAGCTCTGTGTACACACCCCCAGGGTCAGGCCACCAGCACAACTTCCAGTGAAGCTCGGGGATTCATCAGGCTGGCAATAATACAGGAAGTGAAGGTAAACATAGTGCTGATGGTGACCCCATAAACATGGATGGTCCTGCCGTGGCCAGCCCTTCAGAGACCGGTGAGATCAGTGGCGCTCTGATACTGGTGCTGGGACTCAGTGCTGTTGGGATGTCTCAGTGCTGCTGAAGTAACAACCGCGCCGTGGCTGAGTACCCAGGGACTTGGGTACAGGCTGCCTGCTCTAGGAACAGACTCACTGCCCCCTAAGGTTCCTATCTGGGTTTTTCGAGTTGCTGTCATCACTTTGATCCCATAGTGATAGTTCTAGGTAAGCTATATTAATGTTTGGTTTTAAGAAGACTTTAGGGGAGCTTCTGTGGTTTATAGTTTAAAGATTGTCTCAGGGCGATAGTTGAGGAATTCATCCAGCCTCCATGGTTCCAGCAAGTCAGAATGTAAAATTCTGTTCCGTATTTTCCTCTTTTTGATTGGGATTCTTCCATGGAATCCTTTTCATCCTCCTTTGCCTGACTGGGAGAATGATGTGGCCTTGGAAACCCTACAGGGCAGTTCTACTTTGTCCTATCAGGTTATCATGAATTATAATCTACTGATGGCAATGGGATGGCATTCCTGATTCTTCTTTGTTGCTCCTGGCCAGTAGAGAACAAGGACTACACATGTTATTAGGCCAATTCACTGGGGTGGGCAGAGCAGCTTTTTAATCACCTCAGAATACAAGTATGGGGAGGAAGGTGATGTGGGGCTGGATATCAAGCACCATAGCAGCCTACTCTGCAGTGCAGTTCTGACCTTGTGGTCCACAGGAAGGGAGTGTGATGGCGCTTTTTCCCTGAGTGCCTTTCTTTCTAACAAGGAGGCAGATTGTTCCTGGAAAATCACAGTGCACTTCCCAGTGGGTCCTGGTGCCCAACCTGGCCCACATGTTCATCCCATATGCTCACCCAGCATGAGAGAGGGCGTGTGAAGTGCTTCTAGTTCATCTGCTGGCCCAGGCTTTGCTTTTCTGTCAAATGGTGTTATGTCAGAAAGGAGACATTAGGCGAGAAAGTCCCCTGGGGAAGGACGTAGGATGTGAGGATGCTCCCTGACTGTCCACAAATTCTGACTGGATAAACACCCACAAGAAAAAACAGAGGAACACCTGGAACCAAGACTGCACCCTAATGTGTTTACCCTGTAGGATCCCCGTCCCTGGAGTGTCCCTTTATTGGAGGGCACCACTGTGGTTTGTCTGACTGCTGGAAAATTGTCATACTAGAAAGAACATGGTACTTGGAGTTGTAGTCTAGCAAGCTATTTCACATTTCTCGTTGTCCATTTCTTTATCTGTGAACTGGTCCAGGAGTGAATCCATTTGTGTGGAAAGCTTCGCCTCCTCTCTGACTCATGCTGGCATTGTCAGTATTTCTCTGGGTTTGGAATGTCAGTACATTCTCTACAGGCAGCCATTGAACCCTCATGACTGCTGCTGTTCTCCCCAGCTTCTCTGGTAGAGTTAATTGTGCAGCAGTGATTTGCACAGGTCTGGGGCACCTTAGGATAAAATGACTAGAATGGGTCTGTCACTCATATTCAACCCTGGTCACTTTTTACTGTTCCTAAGAAGACTATGGCACCTTGAGAGCCAGTCTCCAAGGGCTCCACTTTGTGCCCCAAGTTCTCTGCTGGCACGTTACACTCAGTACCAGAATGCTCACGAAAGCTTTGTCTTAACAGCATTTGCAGCACTGGACAGGTTGGCCCCTCCCCTGTTGGCAGTCACCCAGTCACCAACAGCCTGAAGGGCACATTCAGTGAGCCCCAGAGGAGCCTGGGGAGGGCCGGGAGGAGTGGGCTGTTTGTGCTCACTGTGTTTAAAAGGTGAGGGGGGTAAATTGGAAAAGAACGTTGTTGCTGCTTGCACCATGCGTACCTTTCACCAGTTAGTTGAGCCGTTAATGGTGCAGTGATTCTCAGTCTGGAAGAAATCCACAGCAGGTGGGGAGAGTGAGTTTACCCAGACCAGGCCAAAACCTGTTGTGCTCAGCACTACTTGGGGTCACAGTTGGGGGTTAGAGGGACAACCCCCAAACTCCGTGGGTTGCCCAGAGAGGGCACAGGGAATCCTCTCTGGGTGCCACGGAGCCTTCTCAAGCACAGGCATCTGATCTGAGGGTACTCTGCTGCTCATGTCTGTCACACTTCTTTCTGCCACTGCTCCTTGTTGCTCATGTTACAACTGCCCTTTTTCACAGGGATGCTTGAAGATGGAAAGAAATTTGATTCCTCCCGGGACAGAAACAAGCCCTTTAAGTTTATGCTAGGCAAGCAGGAGGTGATCCGAGGCTGGGAAGAAGGGGTTGCCCAGGTATGTGTGTTTGTTTTGTTTATTTTATTTCCTAGTGTATAGTATGTTGCTATTCTAAACAATGCTGTCGTGACTAATCTTGCCTGGGCTTTATTTTACATGGAGGGAGGGAGTTAAAGATGGTGTGCATTGTATCTTGCCAGGCCTGGTGAGCCTTGGAGAGCTCAATCTGTGACCTCACACCAGCAGAGAATCAGGATGCCTGTCTCCCGGCAGTGTGTGCTGTTAAATTTTTGGCTTTGGTCACTATGATACATGAAAACAATGGTCTCTTTCTTGTTGTAGTTTTAATTTGCACTTGTCTTACTATTGACCATGTTGTGTCAGACCACTTCTGAGAGATCAACTGGGAGGCGAAAGTCATTTTGTGTTACTTGCATATCTCTCCATTTCTGTAAGCAGCTTTGTTCTGCCAACACTCCAGAGTTCTCAGGAGACAATAGGAGACTCTGGGTTGCCACATTTCAATGGGAATCTTATCTTTCTGTCACTCCCAGGAATGTTTTCTTGGCACTAACCAGGTAAAGGGATGTTTATAATAATAGTCTAAAACCCGGGGGCTTTATGATTTGTGATGGGGGATTAGTCTCTTTCCCTCTCTCCAAGAAGACTTGGAGATTTAGCCTGGATTAAGAGATTTCTGTCTGTCATCCCCATTTCTAGAATACACATTGCTCCACTACCTTTATAAAATGTCACTGGATTTACCTCTAGGTAAACTACTGACTGTTCAGAAACCTTAGGCTTTCCTACTCACCAGCTGTTGGCAGTCCCAGCAGGAAAGGATCTTTGTGACTTAATTCCCTTTGGAAGCCTTGCCAGTCTACCTTTCTGTCCCTTCCCACTGTGTCAGACTGGCTCTTGGCATGTAGCTCACCTCCACCCTCTATGCCAGCCACTGTCCACGCTGCGGCTCATCTTCTGTGAGTGCCAGTGTTGGCACAATGACTGCGTTGTGTATCCTGCGTGTTGATGACAGTGATGTCAGCTACTTCTCAGCCCCAGGCTTGGCGCACAGCCAGACAACATGGTGGGGGTAGAAGGCCAAAGCTTTGGGACCATCAGTGCTAACACCACCAGGGAGAAGTCTGGATAATCTGTAAAGCACCTTGTTTTCACCTCCTTCACAGAGCAAGCGGAGAAGAGGGGTTTGTCTTGTGCTTCTTCTGATGATGCTTGGTTTTATAGATATCAGATGGGAAACCATGCCACAAGCACTATTGGCAGCTTTCTAGCAGTGTCCTCTGGGTACTTTCCCATGTTAGTACATGTGATGGACATTTAGTTTGTTACCAAAATATCCTACCAGTGGAATTGTTGGGTCAAAGGAGTGTTTTGGCTGGTGTTACATGTAGCCATATGGAAACAGGATAGGACACATGGGAGTCTGTGCTTCCAGCTCTGCAGTCTTGTCCTCACCACCTTAGTCCAACTTGCTCCAGTTTCTTAAGGGTTGTACATGTGGAGGCTAAAAGTAAAAAGTAAGGAAGATGAAAGAATGGAAATTCAAAAGGGAACCTTGCTCACTGTTCAGAAAATAAGCATTTTTTACACTTAATTTGTACATTTGATTAGAAAATGTAAGTATACAGCTATCTAAAATGTGAAAGCCTTCCCACCACCCTGACCACTTCCATACTGTTTCTTCCACAGCTGAATGCTGGTATTGTTGGGGTCCTTCCATGGGTGTTCCTGCCTATACCAAAGACACAAACCCACTGCTGTTGAGTCCACTGTGATTTGTAGTGACCATATAGGTCAGAGTAGACTGTAAGCCTACAGAAGCAGACAGCCACAAGCCGTAGCTTTCTGTCTCCGCTGGCATGCAGCTGATTTAACCACAGTACCACCAGGGCGCCTTCTCTGCATGCCACCGTTGCAGTCCAGCACAGTAACCCACAGCTCCACACCAGGACTCCATATATAGGCAGGAGCAAATCATCGAAGTAGTTCCCTCTTTTTCACACAAATGGTAGCTGTCGCGTACCATATATGCATACTGTTTTGTATCTGAGAATATCATTGTTTTTGAACTGTACCTGTTTTCCAGAGCATAAATGTAGTTAGAGACTACTGTAGATGCCAAACTGTAGACGACCTCCAATTCTATTCAAAACAGTTCTGTCAAAATATTTTCCCAAGAAAAATGTGGATGCCTCTTAATATGTCTGTTGAGTGCTAGCCTACTGAAAGGCCTTAGAAGCTTCTAGAGTTGTCTGCCCGGAGTCAGGTAACCAAAACCTGAGTAGAAAAGTTGAAGGCCGTTCTGAGACTAACTTGACAAGGGGGGGGTTTACATTGTATTGCAGGAATTGTCAAGCTGGCTGACAGCCTCCAGCACATGGGGGTACAGCTATAATGTCATTGGAATGTCCTGGCCAAATAGCACCCAGGTAAACAGCTGTTCCTTACAGAGATAGTTGAGTGTCTCTAGCTGAATTTTTTCTTACTTGTTCATTTCACAGATGAGTGTGGGTCAAAGAGCCAAACTGACCATCTCCCCAGACTATGCCTATGGTGCCACTGGGCACCCAGGCATCATCCTATCAAACGCCACTCTCGTCTTTGATGTGGAGCTTCTAAAACTGGAATGACAAGAATGGCCTCCTCCCCTAGCTACCTGTTCTTGGGTAAGGAACTTGCAGCTGAAGTTGCAGCAGTGTTTGATGGGTAATAGAACAAAACACGTCACAGGGCTTTTTCTGTTCCTGTATTCTGCCTCTCTTGGATGTCTTTTTGGGTTATGGTTATTAGTGTACACCAGTACAACTCATGTACAAATCTGTCACACTGAAATGAATTCATAGATGTAGCAGATGAACGTAAACTAAGTTGGTGGCTGTGGAAATTCTAGACTACATTTTTATTGCCAACATTGTAGTTCTGTAGAAGTAAGCCTTGATAACCTTGCTATGCTCTGTTTCTAGAGGCTCTGAGCATGAGTCTCATGCATGCCCTAACTCTGCATGTGCAGCGCTCTCATTCGTGCAGTGTAAGAGTCATCATGTTTGACAGAAGGGCAACATTATTGCCTTGGGCCACCAGACTTGGGTGGCAAGGCCAGGACACTGCTCCACTTGTCACTCCTACCAGGAGGCACTCCCTGACACGTTCCACAGGTCTACACTTAGTCCGTTACTCCTCCCTGCTCTATGAGAGCAGAGTCATTTGGACATAAACATCCTCCAGGGAGCCTTGGATTTATCCTGTTTTGGAAATGCTTTCTGTAAACGTTGTAGGGTGAGAGAAAGGGAGAAAAGGAAGGGAAAGAGGGATGAAACCCTGCAAATCGTAGGCTTGAGTGAATGAATACTGCACCTATTTTCCAAGTCTTTTCAACATAGCAAATACCAACATAGGGCTGTGGTTTTCAATCTCAGCTGCACATAAAGATCACCTGGGGAGATGTTTTAAACCTTTAAAAATGTACCCAGCCCATACTGTATGCCAGTTAATTATTGAGAAAGGTCCATGCATAATTGATTTTTTAAAATTCCCGGATGATTCCACCATGCAGCCAAGTTGGCTATCCGATGATAATGAGAACTGTACTGGAAACAGTACTGGTGGGCTCTCCTCCTGCAGGACTGGTTTATCTTAGCAAGGTCAGCTTAACTATTGGTAAAAAAAGACAGTTGTGAGCAGGAAAAGGGTTGTTTACCTGGGAGCCCCAGTTGGACCAGGACTGGCTGAACCTCAGTAAGATCCATCAACTGTTGGGGAAGGGACATGGCAGAGGCTGACGGCATTGTGGCTTTTTGCACTGCACACACAGGGCACTGAGTTGTCGGAACTCACAAATTTTCTGTCCCCAACAGATCTGCCACAGAGGGATCTGGCGCCTCCAGACACGCGCACGTGACTCCGTATGGAGCTTTCCCCGATGTTCAACTACACTCTTTCTATAAACATCAACCCTGACTGAATGTGTTATGTCACTCAGCTTTGCTTCTGACACCTCCATTTTCTCTTCCCCTTTT